GGCGGGGCGGGAACTCGCCTATTACCGTAAGAACGCGAGCGTTACGTTACCGCCACGTACCGCTGGGGAGGTAGGGGTCAACATGTCACAATATTATAAAACTGGAATAAGTACCATTGTATCATACAATCAGGTCACAGGCTATATATAACAGAAAGGAATGTGCAGTTGGTGCATATGAACTGTATGACTGACTGAAACCAACTTCATTAAGTTGGCAGCTTGATTTTTGACATGGCTGGTCACAGAGTGAGAGACTTCATTTTGTTTATGTATAATGCTTTGTATTCCTCTTTTGCATTGGATGTAGCTATCCACTCCATAGAGCTGAGCCCTTCTTGGGAGGCTGCTATTTGTGCAACTACTCAAGAACTTCCAAGCATTTTATGGAACCCGAAAGTTCATTACTGTATTCAGACGACCCCTCCACTGCTCCCTATCCTGAGCGAGATCAATCCAGTCCATACCACCTTATCCTATCTATCTTAAGATCCATTTTAATATTATCGACCCACCAACATTTTGGTCTTCTCAGTGGTCTCTTTCCTTCTGGATTTCCAACCAATATGCATTCCTCTTCTAACCCACTCATACTACATGTCCTGCCCCATCTCACCCTTCTTGACTTATCATTCTAATCATACTTGGCGAAGCATACAAGTTGTGAAGCTCCTCATTATGCAGTTTTCTCCAACCTCCTGTCACTTCATCTCTCTTCGGTCCAAATATTCTCCTCAACATCCTCAGTCTATGTTCCTCATTTAATGTCAGAGACTAAGTTTCACACCCATACAGAACCACAGGCAAAATTATAGTTTTGTATATTCTGATTTTTATGTTTTTAGACAGCAGATGAGAAGACAAAAGGTTCTGAACTGAATGGTAGCAAGCACTACCTGAATTCACTTCCTCCTGAATCACATTTTGATTTGATACTGTCACTGACTCCCAGATATTAATCCCACTGTGCCAAATTATTTATGCTTTCTCACCTTTTCATTCAGCTTTGATTTAACCATGTTGCCTTTCATTTATCAAAATTCACATACCAGTAATGTGGTTTGTAATGCATTAGCTGTTACTATATTTTTACAGGTCAGCCTCATGAAGGCTCTGGTTATGCTTCACAGAAGGTTCTCCAAATGGCATGGCATCGATTAGAACATGTTCGCAGTAGAGTCAATGAACTGGAACGAATTAAAAACAAACATTTACAGGGAAGGGCCCTGTTGCGTCCCCAGCCACAGCTCACCCAGAGTCAACAGAATGGAACACAGCCAGTTGGAAGTGCCACTGGTGCAGGAACAACTGGGTAGAACGTAAGACACCAAGGAATTGTACTGAGAAACAGTTCATCTTATGCCTCAAGGAGCAAAATGGTGTGAAGTATTCAATGATCAGAAAATAGTTTGTGCTTGTTTTTGTTTTCTGTAGTTTTTTCCAAGCAACACTTCTTCAGTCATTCATCTGTGTTTTTTAGAATCTAATTTGACATGAGTGCTATACTGGGGTCAGAGAGTGAATGAATGAATGTGGGTGGGGTGGCAGTAATGTGAATATTTAATCTGATCACATGTTTTTGTATATATAATGCATACTGTACTACCTTACACAGCCAATCCTTGTACATAATTCTTTACACATTATAATGTCTTGGCTGTGTAAGGTAGTACAGTATGTATTATATATACAAGCATCAGCTTTATGGAATGCCAGTTTGGTATACCTGGGGGGGAAAAAAATATATGTAGTTATGTGGTTTTTGCACTGAATGCCCACAATATAGAGTAAAAAATAGGTATGTCAACAGTACACAATCTTAACAACTGAAAGCATAGTGAAATAAACAAAGAATACACTAAATGTAACAACAGTGCATAAGGAATGAAACGGATGTACCTGGAGATGTGCTTAAGTTACTGGGAGAAGGTGGTTTGAAAACACTGACAAAACTAATGAACACCATGTATGAAACTGGGGAGTGGCCCCAGGACTTTACAGAAGTGACAATGATTGCCTTAAAGAAAAAGACAAAATCTACAAAATGCAGCAACCATCGCACAATAAGCCTTATGGCACATACAGCAAAGATACTTAAAAGAAGAATTGAAAGGAAAATAGAGGATACACTTAGAGAGGATCTATGGAGGTCCATAGATTTGTAAGGTTCCCACATTTTCAAGACAGTCGGCAGGTGAGGTTGCCAGCCTTGTGCGCTGGCCACCCATAAACCCCAGGAAGATTTCTGGTACTAATTTCTGTTAGAGGCTGTGTCAAACCCAGGGCCATAGTGCGGCTGGAACAATTAGGTAAATTGAAAAATCCATTGTCCTCAACAGGAACCGAACCCACAACCTCCCAGCTTGTAACATACTGCCTCAACCAACTATGCCACCCTGTGAAGGCAGATCCCTTGAAAAAGTACGAGGCTCATCCACAAAGTAAGTTTCCCTGGGGTCATTTACAGAAACAAAACACAATTTCATGGAAATATTTATTGCAACAGATACAGCAAGTGTTCAGCTATTTTTCAACATAATCGCCACCGGAACTGAGACATTTGTCATACCGTGGGACCAACTTTTGAATACCTGTGTCATAGAAGTCTGCCACCTGGGATTGGAACCACTGCGTGACAACCATCTCCACCTCTCTATCATTCTCAAAATGCTGACGCTCACTGGACAGGAATTTTTTGAGGTGTAGGAAAAGATGGAAATCACTGGGAGCGAGGTCCGGGCTGTAGGGTGGATAATTATAAACACCTCCCAGCTGAACTCCTGCAGGAGACTTGCTGTCCATCAAGCCGTGTACGGCCTACCGTTATCGTGCAGGAAGACAATACCAGCACTAAGCTTCCCGCGCCACTTGTTCTGAATGGCCCGCCGCAATTTCTGCAGTGTTTCACAGTAACGCTCAGCATGCATGCGCCATGCTACGTCATTGCTCTATCACATACGCGCAGTCACTTTGCGCAATATAAGGTTTGCTAGCTGTGGGACGAGTGGGAAACCTACTTTGTGGACGTGCTACATAGCACAGTTCAAATATTTGGGAACAACAGTAACAAATCAAAATTTGATTCAGGGGGAAATCAAGAACAGAACCTTCTGTCTTCTCATATGCTGTCTAGAAACATAAAAAGTTAGAATTTACAAAAGCATAATTTTACTTCTAGTTTTTTTAGTGTGAAACTTGGTCTCTGACATCATGGGAAGAACATACTGAGGGTGCTGAGAATATTTGGACCCAAAATGGATGGAGAAAACTGCATATTGGGGAACTTCATAACTTGTACTTTTCACCAAATATAATTAGAATGATTAGCACGCATGAGAGAAAAGACTACTGCATAAAGGTTTTTTTTTTTTTTGTGGCAAAGCCTGACAGAAAGAGACTGCTAGGAAGGCGAAAACATAGATGGGTGAATATTATTACAATGGATCTCAGAGAAATATGATGGAGTGGTGTGTATGTCATTCATCTGGCTCAGGATAGGGACCATTGGTCGGCTCTTGTGTATGTTGGGAAATTCTTCAGAAGGTGAAGCTGCATGGAATTAGAGCCCAAAGGTCATATCACTGGAACATGTGTGTTCTGAGTCACAGTCTGCAAACAAGTGTAACAGTGCCATTTCCAAAATAAATGTATGTGCATTCACCAAAGTGGCAGCATTTTTTCCAGCTTGTTCTCTGAATTGATTTTTCTCCCAAGTTTGTGAATGCTATATTTTTATTGTCATAGAGTATTTACATTTCTGCATCTTGTCAAGAGAATACTGCAGGCCCTAAGTCATGATGGAGAACAAATGTGACTGTCCAAAAATTGGAAGAGAAGCGTGGAGAAAGACTGCAGAGAAGTAACGTCAATGACAGTAATGGAAAGACTAATTCTTGGATTGACAGTTGATGGAATTTGTTCACGAAGAAGATATTTCCAAATTATTTATTACCTAGTATCATGATTTTATTGTTAATTTTGGCTTCATGACATGTTCTTATTCATACTTCTGCCTGCTGCGGCTCCCAATAAAATCAACTCAATTGTTTTAGGCTTGCAATCAAAGAAGGATGTTATCCTGATATTCACACTCTGATACAGAGCATACTGAAGCTGTGGCTTCAAGCGGTACTGCAGATAGACATTAACGTTTCATAGGAACTTACTGCTTCCATCTTCAGGCACCAAAGTGTGGTGAGGCTGTAAGAAAGGTAGTCCCTCAGATCAGTGGTACTGGTCAACAGGAAAAGCAAAAGCAAAAGATTGGCCCTTATGAGGGACACAGTTGTCAGTGCAGTTTGTAACAGTCACCATGAAGATGTACGTATCTAAAATGCTATATGATCCGGACATGCAATGCAGCAAGTACAAGATCCATTTTTTTTTGGTTTAACAATTCACATCTGTAGCTCAGACTACACAGTGTCAAATGAGAGTATGCCAGAGAATAATAAATTGGAAAGGATGTGGAAGGATGAAGGTGGCACCAGTCTGAAGAACTGTCCTATTCAGGCACATGCCCGGGGGGACTGACAATCTCCACAAAGAACCTGTCAGGATAGTTGGTCTCTAAGCTGAGATTTGAACGTGGAACCTCCCAATTATGAAAAAAAAATGCTACCTATCAAACCACTATGTTCAGTAAAGGTAAAGAATATGTAAAATTATCTCACCTTACAGAATTCTGAAACCCTACAAATGATCTGCAGAGTTGTTTCATAAGATACAAAGAATTACTCAGTATATTTTAATAATGTAAGAAATATTGCAAAAAAGAAATTACATCTCTTTCTTCCGCATGTAACATAGATCAAAATACTCATCACAGAGGGTATTACCAAAGTTTTACAAGTGAACTGCCTAGTAATGTATATATGACATATTTATATATCATAAACAACAAACAGGAATGAATGAATCAAAATACAGTGGAACCCCCATTTGATGACCCTTAAACTGATGTTCAGTTTCAAAAGTTCCAAGTTGATCTCAGTACTAAATTGCCTCAATTTAACATTTTCCTGTTTGCTGTTGAAATTCACTGATCCCAAAAGAAGCGTTTAATGGGGGGTTTCACTGTAAGTAAACAAAGTAAGTAAAGGTATCCCTGTAACAGGCTGTGGAGGCCCATAGGGTTGTGAGAAGTTGAGGCTCTCACATTTTCTACATAATCAGCTCACAGATAGCAGTGAGGTTGTCAGCCTTAAGCACTGGCCGACCTTTACCCCCAGGAATATTCCTGGTACTCATTTATGTTAGAGGCTGAATTGACCCCAGGGCCATAGTGCAGCTGGAAGGATTACATCAACTGAAGAAATCCAATGACCTCATCAGGATCCGATCCCACGACCTTCCGGTTTGTAGCATAGTGCCTCAACCAACTACACTACTGCATACCCCCTCACTGTGTAAGCATACAAGAATAAAATCACATTCCCCACCAAAGACAAGACAATGACTGCCGTAAGTCAAAGAATTGCAGTACTTGTATAAGAAATTTAGCCATAATAAAGAAACTAAAATGTATGGAAATTCAGGGAATTGACAGAATATTAAACATATGAGTGAAAAATCATGTAAGATTTGGGGTTTTCAAATGGCAATTATGAGGAGTTCTGTCTTCTGGGACATGATGATGCATAGTCTACTGAAAGTCAACCGATGTTTCAAAGGAACTTGTCACTTCCATCTTCGGGATTGAAGAGAAAGATGAGGAAGAAACCAACTCAAGTTGCTCTTTAATCTTGAAGATAGAGGTGACATCCAGAAGACAGAACTTGCAAAAACCATGTTCTTTGAATTCTTTTCTTGGGAATCGCATTCAGAATACAGTGTCATAGAGTGACATACTGAACTTGTATGAAAGTCCTGCTGTAGGCATGTCAGGTCAGTTGCAACCCATGCAATATGTCGTGCAGTTTGCACCAGTCACTGAAGTGCAGCATAAAAACATTTATCTGCATTGTGAACGTAGCTATAGTTTGTCTAAATTATTTTTGTTTACTTGTCAGATAATTATGTCACAGATTACTCTTTTTCAGAGTATGTAATTGTTATTGCATGTAGTAATGTTTCGTAACATTACAGTCAGGGACTTGCCATCTTTCCTCCAAATCTTATGGACATTTCGCCTCCTTCTGTGCCCCCCCTCTCAGTACACCTGGGTGCAGGCATTTGACATGAGTACTTTGTCATGCACTACCAACCACCAAGACAACAGATCTTCGAGAAACATCCCCTATGAACAAAGGCATGAGCTCGTAACGGCCGATGGCATATGCAAAAGCACATACTTCACACGTACCCTTCTAACTCAATGTAGTGAGACCTGGAAATGCATTCTGCTTACTGACAACCAACTTTTTATGTTGGTGAGAAATGTAACCTTTTATCTTCCCTTCAAATATAAGATTGGAAACGATGCACTGTGTTTCATCCAGATCTATATCCTTCAGTTCATTGTACTTCAAAGCTGATAACAGAGCCTCTATTGGTATCTGATGTGTCTTCATCAACAGGTGGCTGTAAAAGCAGAGAATAAAATAGTCATAATAATCTGACAATCAAATTAAACAAATACCAAAAAAATAAAAATAAAAAACAAATCAGGAAATGTACACACAGAGTAACAACTTTAGTTCAGTGCCTCCCTTTTGTTTTATTTCAGAAACTTCAGGATCAATGGGAAGAAGTTTACTGCGGGAAAATGTGTTCCATTTTTTTTTCATATAACTTTTGTTTAAATCATTTTCTACTCCGCAAACTTTCTCCGAGTTACTCATGAGATTTGTGCAGTAACACATGTTAAGTCTTCATGCAAAGTGCTCATTGCAACTCTGATTTTAAATGAAATCAGAATGGGTCAACAAATTTAGTTGAACTCCCCAGTATCAAACTGAACGAAAATCCTTTCAGTAAAATTCAATCTGGAAATCTTTCATTAATAGTTGTCATGCAAATCCAATTTGCAGCTATACTGATTGAAATAAGTCCACTTATGGCCATAAACAAACATGTAAGATCTGAGGTCTGGCCCCTTTCAAGAGAAGAAATAAAAAAAAAAGACACAAACCAACCTGGTTTATAATTTCCAACAAAAATCTTAACAAACTAATTGTAAATTCTTTAACATATTAAGAGAGCCACTGTAGTTATATAAAACATTAGATTTTATATCCATTGTATTTTATCAACATTATATGTATATATTTTAGCGTTCAAAAACATATTGTAATAGTGGCTTCCGATTGTATTGATGTCTCTCTGAGGATGGTCTGTAAAGACCAAAAGATGTAAGGGATAAAGGACTGAAATAAGAAAAATCTTTACTAGTCACACTGGACAGAACTGTTTAACCTGTTACTGCATTATTACATTCAAAAACAAGTACAACTTCGGAGTCTTTTATCAATGAATAAAAATGTATTGTCTTTTTATAGTTTTTAAGTACTGGGTCTATAGTGATATTCTGATATTTATTTTATCAGCACTACTTATATCATTAAACTGTCCATATATTTGTTTTCTATGTTTTTTAAGGGCTACCTTTTGCTTCACCAATCTGAATTACCCCCCCATTACTCCAGATATAGATATGTCCTGCAATGATAAGATCTATGAAGCACACAAATATTAATTTGACCCAGCAATCTCCTTGTTATGCAGTACCCATTACATGAATGTGCTGGTTCTGTGACCTTTTACACCACACAATTTTCACCCTTTTCAAATTAAAACAACACTTCTTCAGTTTGGTTCATGCACAGGTGTCTTCTCAGAGCACAAAACAGATTGATGAATGAACATTCTGTATACAGTAGAACACAATCACAAATCCAACTAACCTCTACCTTATTCAGGCAGCATTAAGACTGCAATGGCACTTATTGGCCAGTAACAGATGGGAAAACTTCCATCTGACAGATGACTATATGCGTATAGTTAACTTCATAAAATTGGTACATATTTTTTTAAATTCTTGCCAATTACATGAGGATTCAAGATCCATGGATACCAGACAGGCAAGAGTTCATGTATTTAAATAAAATGTTGCCAGTCCAGTGGTACTTACAGTCAGCCAGTTGAGATTTGCCAGATTGTACTGATATTGCACACAATCATGGTGTCTTAATTCCATACTTTTCTAACTTATTTATTATGTGTCATGTTAAGTCCATTTAAAATTAAAGAGAATATTTGGCAATTCTTTTGTAAACTTGTGATAAGATTCACCGACTATTAAAAGGGGAGGCAAACATTAACATGTATTTTGGGAAATGGAAGGATGCTCTGTGGGCCACATTCTGCTAGACAGGCTGTCCCAGGAGGAAAGTTCAATATTCTGGGAGGTCATAGTACTGATCTTCTAAGCAAAAAAGTGTACATGTACATGTCCTATTTTGAAAGGTTTCTGAGACAGAGCTATTTCACTGTACAGATGAGCAACACACCATGTCCTCACACGAGTTGACAGTGCAATTTCTGAAAATGTATTGTACTAGACTTTGTACATCATCAGGTATTCTAGAAACTAGAAAACACAGAGTTTCAGAAAGTGGCTCTGTACATATACACTTTCTTTTGCTTAGAATGACTGATACTGTGACCTCCTGGAATACTGACTTTTCCTTCTGGGACACCCTGTATATTATAAATCATTCACAAAATTTTATAAACAAGATGCAAATAAGCTTAATAAACTGTAAAAACAACAAATCTCGGAATTCTGTGTACTGTGCTGTCTGCTGGGACATAATGTTTTATAATCAATATAAGTCCATTGTTGCTTCTGAAGAACACATGCCTCCATCTTCAGGGTCAAAGCATAAGCCAAGCAAGAAACCAGAAAGATGCAAGTGACAAGCATGACTGTCTGACATAAGGATACTCACACTTTCTTGAATAAATTCCTGAAGGTGATGATTTTGAGTTTCTCCAGAAGAAGATATATGCCACATTTAATGAAAAATATTTCATGCAGCTGAATTGCTTTGTTGAGCTGCAGAATATTCCCTTGTTTGACTGCCGCAACAACTTCGACAAACTGAGTGAGGTCGTACTTCTCAAGTACCGCTTCACTTGGCATATAACCCTAAACAAGGCATACATGTCTTAAGCACACCATAATTTGATTGAGTACCAGAGATATGAGATTCTCATAGTAATAACTATCAAAATTAATGCTGTGAAGTTTGGTAGATAGGTACCAATGTTTTGGACAAACCTGCTGCCTCCATCTTCACGGTGTGAGTGAAGTATTGAGTAAGGGAAACTCTGATTTGAACAGAATTATCTGTATTCCTAGAAGCCTTCAGACCCAGCCCTCCCTTTGCCTATACCTGTGCCATATTTGTTTCCATGATCAGATTACTCTTCTATCCTGAAGATGGTGGCAGCATACTAATCTAAAACGTTTGTAAATATCTACCAGACTAAACAGTGTCAAGTTACTGTCATGAGAACATTAATTTTATGAAACTCTTGGTTGTTTTTTATTATCAACTGACCACTACTTAATCCTGACAAAAATAAAAGGATAACTTTTGAAAATGTTCACACACATTTTCTACAGAACAGAATCCATACTTGTAATTTAGATTGTGGTCTTCTGGGGGTTGTGGCATTGCGTGATCATGTAGGCGGACACCTGCATTTCACAGGAATATGCCATCCCCATCTTTGACACCAAAGTGAGTAGTCAAACTGGGGTTAGCTCATGTATGGAAGCTCAATGGAGAGCAGTGACTCAGCCACTGGAGAAGATATAACCTGATCTAAGAAACAAACTCCGTGATCTTAGTCCGCAGGCGAACTATACTGACTGAGCAACCGCCACTTGTCGGCGAAGTTTAGTGCCAACTTTTGCGGACAGAGGGTGTCATGTGGTCAGCACAACGAATCACCATGGCCGTTAATTTCGGTTTTCTAGACCGGAGCCACAATTTCCTTGAAATAGCTCCACAATTATCATCACGAGGCTGCGTGGACCCTGTTCCAGACCCACTACTTCTCAGAAAAAATCTGGTAGCGCCGGGAATCGAACCTGGTCCTCTGGATCTATAGCCAGGAACGCTGACCACTAGATCACAGAGGTGGCCAACATGAAATATAAGAACACTGGTTATTCTTGGGGACCACAGTGTCATGGAACTGTGATAACTGACAGTCCTTGTCAGGAACGTTGTGGGAAAGAACTGTGAAGTGAGAAAACAGACCTTTATGAGGGCCCAGGCAGAGGAGTGTCTCAGGAGGAAGTAAATATCTTAGCTTTGGAGAAAAACTTGTTCTTCCTGTCTTTCAAGGAATGGATATGATGCTTCCAAGATGGGGCCTGGGAGAAGCCATTTTTACATCTTTTATCAGAATTCTGTGTCCCTCCTGTGTCAAAAATATTGTCCCTGAGGGCAGCCTCTTAACCCCCCCCCTTCTCACAGTTCCTATTGGCTTGGACCAGGTTCCATCTCCTTTGCTACTATCACAGATCTGAGGGTCCACTTTCCCAGTAACCCAACTGCATTGCCAGCGCACTCAACACTGAAGGTGCAGGCGCACATTCATTTATGTTATCCCCTTGAAAGTGAATACAGTGTCACAATTCACAAGACCACAACCTGAACAATCACTGCCATGAAAATCTTAAAACTTGAATTCACCAACAAATGATTATTACTGGTCAGTATTTTGTATCTGTGAACTTCCTAACATGGGTAAAATATATGTTATTTACGCAGTACATGTTTTCCACATTACCCATTTTGAATGAATGAATTTATATTACTGCTATAGTTCAATCTGAGTAAATATGAGGGATATTCAGAAAGTAACTTCTCATGAGCTGTTAATAAAACAAGCAACTGGGGGGGAAAAAATTATTATAAACAAAAGATACAAACATACTTAAGCTACTTCTCAACATAGTCATCTCCGGAATTGACACAACTGTCATATTGCGGAATAAGGCTTTGCATGCCTGCATCAAAGAAGTCTGCCGCCGGTGAGATCGGCCATTGACTGACACCTTCCATCAACTCCTCATATTGTTGAAGCGCTGTGATCCCAACCAGTTCTTCAGGTAGGTAAACAGGTGGTAGTCACTTGGTGCAAGATCAGGGCTGTAAGGATCATGGTCAAACAACTACCAGTTGAAATGTGTCAGCAGTGCTTGAGGTGCAAGTAGCTGTATGCAGACACACACTGTTGTGGAACACTACACCAATGTCAGCATTCCACGCCTTTTGTTCTGAATGGCTGTACACAGTTTTTTTTTAGTGTTTCGTGATACACTTCTGACATTATAGTGGTCCCTTGTTGCGTGAATTCCACCGTCGGCACTCCTCTCCTGTCTCAGAAAACAGCTGTCATCAGCTTTCTGGCAGACAATGTTTGTTTACACTTTTTCAGCTTGTTTGGTGAATGTGTGTGTATCCACTGCTTTGACTGCTCTTTGGTTTCAACTCCCACAAATGAAACCCAGGTTTTATCACCTGACACTCGCTGAGAAATTCATTGCCATCTTTGTGATACTGCCCTAAAGAAGTCAAAGCCAAAGCCATTCCCTTCATTTTGTGTGCACCCATGAGCATTTCCAGAACTCATCTTGCTCAAAACTTGTGACAGCCTAGCATAACTGTGATAACCTCATATAGAACTGTGTGTGAAATTTGTGGAAATTCAAACAAAATTTCTGAAATTGTGAAGTGCCATCTTTCACAAAATTTTTGGTTGACACTTTGAACAAGATCATCACTCACTACAGATAACCAACCAACCACTTTGATCTTCATCATGAATATCTGTTCGTCCATCTTTGAACATTCTACACCATTGTCTTACAGTTCCTTCACTCGTTACATTTTGGCCGTAAACCATGCATAATTCACAATGGATTTCTCCAACATTCAGGCTTTTAGTGTTAATAAAACAGAGAAGAGCACGAATTTTGCAGCTGGCAGGATTATCAGTTGCAGGACATATCATAACTCACTCTGCAGAGACAAGAACAAATGCTAGGTGACCAGTTACATGATGGTTTACAAGGCAATGAGTCATGTAATGGTACCTCACACACATGAGCTTTTCCCTGCTCCTACATTAGTTGCCTAAATTAAATGGAGGTTACTTTCCGAATAGACATTTGAGAACCTTTTCTGATACAATCTTGAAACATGTCCACTAAGTCTGTTACATTCAGGGTGAATGTACACAGCTCTAAATATTAACTTCATTTTTTATTATTATTAGTGAAAGAAGTCATCATGGTAACAACATATCTTTCATATTACACTTAAAGACGTGTTAATTGTATCAGCCTGTCATGTTGTCAAGAAGTGAGGGTCCAGTACAGAGACTGAGTACTGCTCACTCCCTCCGAACACTAGGTTTGTTGGAATTGACGGAATATTTTGAATTTTTTTATTCACTTTTCTTGGACATATTTCATTGTCCCCCCTTGAAGCTGGGTCAGAATTTTTAAATTTCTTCACTAACAAAACATACAATAGTTACCAGGAAATGATTTTAAAACATAAGTTTCAGGTTTGTAAAACAAGCAACACTAATGTTGCTCTCATTCCATGAGTTTGCATGTCCACCATACTCATATTATTAATGGCATGAAACCGAAAGTATAAAGGTCAGTTGGCCTAGAGTGGCATGATGTGTATATCAAATTTCATGAAAATCTATCAACTGATCCAAAAGTTACTGGGCACATGCGTGTACACACATGTGCACAGAGGCATGGGTAGACACCTGTATAGACGCACAAACATTGTGACAATATATCATTAATTGAGCTTTCCTTATAAAATGAAAAATGTAAATTTTAAATAAAATATCAGTTTCTCTATGATATTGCTACTTTTAAGTTATTCAAAAACTTGACATCAGTAGAACAGAATTAAAGTATAAAAGCAAACCACTTACAAGGAGCATCTTCACAGGGACCAAATATGTCAGAATCAGTCTTTTGTTTCTCCAACATTGTTTATGACATCTTTCAAAGGCGAAAGACAAGAATTGTTCAGCTGGGGACAAAAATAAAAAGCATTAAAAGTAATGTCCAGAATCCCACACTTGCCATACTTCTCCCAAATGCAACAATTATAGAAACAGTAAGTTGTCATTTCATAATGGTTTTCTAGCACCAAGAACTACCAATAACAATTAATGATCAGAATTGAATGGCATCACAAACTGGCTTAATTCCTACAAGGAAGATATTAATTAACATGATGTTCAACAATGATAAATGTTCACGACTGATGCAGCATATGAACTGAACCAATTTGCTTCATCACCCTAATGGATATTTATCATGGCTACTCGAGACTTATCAACCAGCACTGAACAGGATGGCACAGCAGTAAAGCTACAAACTTTTATTCTGGAGGTGTTCAGTTCAAATCCTGAATATCTTGACTGTGGCTCCTTGTGATTTTCCTCAATCCCTCCATGCAAATACCATGAGAGTACATCAACCAGGCACTGACAGCAATCAATGCTATACAGTCTGGCTACTGAAACTGGTGTGTAAAATAAACAAAAGAATTATCAAGTTCCAAGTGACTTAAGTTCTGTGGGTTAAGCACTTTCTCTCCCAACAATGCTGGTGGCTTTCCTGCCAAGCCTGCCATTTTTTGCAATACAGCAGTAGTCTGTGCAGTATCTTACAGTGGAGAGATAAATACCAAACAATCTACACACGTCCAAGGAATGGCACATTGTCTGGTGGCAGAAGAAAGAGGTTCAAAGTCAAAGTGTGTTGAAAGTAATATATTTTGTCTTTTCACAGCATGTTACTCTCTGATCTTGGTTAAATAGGGAAATCTGGACAACAATTAACCTTTATTGGATGAATGTTATATATATATATATCAGCAAGTAACCCCCCACTGTGGCCTTAAGGTCACATGTTACAGGTAGTAATGACACCATCCTCTGAGGCTGTCCGAACTACAGCTGTGTCTTTGGTGGGGACACATCAGGACACAACCTTGGGACACCTCGTGGACCCGCTGGGCAAAGACAGTCTCGGGGTCTGGATTAGTTTGACTAGCCGGGGCTGGCAGCTAAGTTCCCATAAAGGGCAATGGCGTTTCTATGACCATAGCCACCCACGCGGCAGCATAATGACTCTTGGGTATCACTATGGTCTACCCAGGACGAATGTGGGAGAGCACTTGTATGGGGGTAGCTTCGGCTACTTGAGCTGTCTCCCTAGAGTACCGATAAGGTGCCACAAGCCTTTGGGCTCAACACTCTAAAATGGTCTGACTAACCCACATGGAGGGGTGGGAATGTGGGGAGCTTACGTGTCACGACCAGGGGCAACTTTCTCATGCAGGTTTCCCTGGTCGCAACCGCATGAGTCACACTCCTACTGATCATCTGGGATACCTCCCTCCCCCCGAACGAGCACTCTTGGTCCTGGAGGCTTGTGAGGGGCTATCCTTAACAGGACCAAACCACCTAAGCCAAGGTGTGAGGCATTGTGCTGAGGGCTGCATAGCACTGGGGTGGTTATTAGCCGGTGTTGTGAACGATCCCCTCCGGGCACCAAGTAGCACCCCGTTCTATTCATGCCTTCCACCTGTATGGGGTGCTGCAGGTGGTGACCTATATTCCCATGACTCGTGGGACAGAAATGAATACACCACATGATTTCCTTGGAATTGAATTTTTTTATAGACATAAGCAGCTGCCATCAGTTTTCATCAAAAGAGGTTATTTCATTGTTTGTGTTTATAAACTTCCATTGTGGCCATCTTTTTGACATGGTGTTCAGCGAAGTTCTTATTTCAAATATTTAGCCAACTGTTCTTCAGACAAAAGTTGTTTTCTTAATTGACAGTCCACAGCTAGGCCACTCACCAGTTTGCTCTTGAACACCAACTGAACCAGGAAGAGAAACGCCCAAAGTAATAATTAATTCTCTCTCTTCGCTCACTTCTTCTGGCTTTCATTTTGTCACGTATCCTGGTAACAAGACAGTAATTAATGGGTTCCAGATTACATGAACTGATTTATTGGATATTAACCAGTCAGAATTACAATTAATTGTGACACAATCTTACTGTAACTGTAACACTTCCTAACTATGAACAATGATAACACTCCAAAGGTTACTGTAACTACACGACACAAAATAAAGACTGCACTTCTGACTTCTTCTAACCTCTTCTTCTGATGTCTGTTTGTCTTCTGTTGTATTCTGTCATATTCCGTTGTCTGTTGGTCAAGTCTTCAAACCATATGAGGATCACAGTAAAGTTATTGTGCTTAGGGGGTTCACTGCCGTGTGAATGGAAACATTTCTGTATGCGTTTCCTAGGAATCAGTGTGACTCTGTATCCAATGCATTGCTTCTTCAGTTGTATTCATTGCTGTGGAAACACAATTTTGGAGCTGCTGTCTAACGGTGGGTGCCTGGCTCTGCCTCCACTATTGTGGCTTTCAGGAGTCGTGTCACAATATTCACGGAAGGTGAAAAGAAACTAGTAACAAACTAGAAAATACACCCCTCTTCAAATCTACATTCTCACTGACTCCACCTGAAGTCCCATACAGGCAGATGTCCTGCAAGCTGCAATCCCCAGTTCACAAGCTACATTGGATTTAGCATGGTCAAGAAAACATTCAGAGCTGCCTGGTGGTGTGGCTACCATTTAAAAAACATTGACTATAGTGGAAGGGCACTGACACATGTAACTAAGTGTGGACGTAATGCAAAACTGATGCTTTATGTTGACAGACACACAGAACCTTCCCCTCACTGTCGCTCACCCTGCACTGACAGCTTGAAGGACATTTGGTGACATCTATATCATGTCCACATTTGCATAAGTGAAACGCAAATTCATCTTGCTGTTCCCACAGGAGCCAGTAAGGATAGTAACACTGGTTTATCTCAGCTGGTGTGCCATACCATGCGTGCTGTCACAAGAAAGCGCTGTATATATATGTTTTGAAGGCAAAGTACTTAATTCAAGAATTCTTACACACTGTGTACAATGCCTCACATGTTTTAGGAAAAACGTCACATTTACATGCCTCGATTATTCTATACTTTGCCTAGGTGTTGCAGCTGATTATCAGATGTAGATCAAGTCTTGACAAGATGAAACAAACAGTAATGAAACACACCGTGTTTGCTACATTCTGCTGTTATTCATAAGGTTGAATGACATGATATAACAATATATGTATGCTCTGTAATGGAAAACTCATAATTTGGTCATGTCCTAAAAGCTATGATGCTGACAATACTGAACCTACCAGCTTTATAATCACTGTCGAACATTGCCTTACGTCCAACATAGAAGCGATATGTCACTCTCTGGCCAAGAGTAAAATGATCTTTGAAGGGAGATGAGTCAATAGCTCTAATTAAAGGCTTGCAGAGGTGGAGCTTGTTGATTCGAAAGTAAACTTTAAACAGCTGATTTACTAATGCTAACATTCCCCATCTCTTTGTGCAGTCCTCCGAGGAACGGCTGAAATGGAAGCAGAGTAAAACCTGGTTAAGGCACTTTTCAGGTGATCTGCTTCTAAAGATATATCAGGACAGAAATCATCCAAAGAGAAAAGTAACATGTATTTCTTTGAACATTACATGTAATGAATCCAAGATACTCATGGCAGTGATTTCTGGGATGTGATGCTTTGTAGTCTGGTAGAAGTTCACTCTAATTCCTCCACCTTTAGGGTTGAAGAATAAGCAACAGAACATAACATTTTAACAGGAGGATTCACTGCATGCCATCGCATAAGTACAAAGATGAATGTGTAACAACATTCACACTGTGTACACATGGATCACCAAACATTCAGGATACATATATAGAAACAGTCTGGGTTCTAATGCTGTGTGGTCTAGAAAGACCCTGATGTTTCAGAGGAAAACACTGTCTCCATCTTCATGGATGACCTATGTTCCTCCAAAATAATGCATTCTTCCCAAACTCCACAGAAATACAACCTGCCAGTCACCATCACAATGATGTCAAATCCAATATATGTACATACTAGGCTATCAAAACTCTGTCAGCAGAGGTACACATGCTGTGTGACACTCCACTCACTGCCCCGCATTAAGGTGCCAGTTCCTAGCACCTCACAGCAGTGACTGGGATGTGGTCTGGTAGTTCAGAGGAACATACAGCCTTCATCTTCACGACTGAAGAGTAAGCCCATTTCCTTTGCCTCGTCCTTGCTGATGCATCCATACAGAGACATTCAGGGTTCTCTGTTACATGAAGCATGACCCAGGATAGCTCAGTATAGGCTGAATGACCAGGGTTCGATTTCTGGCAGGGGCAAGAGATTTTTCTCTACCCCACAGCATCCAGACTGGCTCTGGGGCCCACCCTAACTGATGGGTACCAGGGGTGCGGGGTCCTTGGGAGTAAAGCAGGAGGGATTGAAGCTATCACTCACCTCCATGTAGTGACAAGGTGAAGAATAATGGAGATATACCTCCACTCCCTCTTACATCCTCATGGCATGGTACTATGGTACTTATCTCGGCACAGGGAAAACTTTACCTTTTTACCTTTGTTACATGTAGCAATCCAGCAAAGCTCCTTCAGTTTCATCATACTACATTTTTGTAGTTCTTAAACCTAAAAAATCTGTCTCTGAATGTTATGGCATATAAAATATGTGAAGATTATTTACTAGAGTATAATTCATATGTTAGAATGAGGTTGGGAAAATTGCAGCTGCAAAACACTAAGAATGAGTTTACAGCAAGACCCCACTAATTTGGACTAATTGGGAGCAAACCCTTGTCCAAATTAGCAGAAGTCCAAATTACGGAAGTGCTACTGAAAATATGCTCAGGGAAGTTATAAGATGGAATGTCATGTGTCTCTTCAGGCAATATTTTAAAACTTAGATTGCATATCATAAAATCAATTTACTTGTCATGAAACGTAAAATGGTTAGTCAGTTTAGGTTTTTTTTAAGTTTCTTGGAGGGGGGGTGAAACTGAGTCCACTTGGCACATCGGCAACTAACTGGCCTATTGTACCAGCTCCAGACGATAGATCAGTGTGGAGGAATCGGTGAAATGAGAAATGTCAGGGGAAACCAAAGTATTTGGAGAAGCCTGCCCCAGTGCCACTTTGTCTTCCATTAAATCCCACATGATATGACCTGGGCTTGAACCCGGGCCACCATGGTGGGAAGGCAGAAACTAACTAAGTTTTGACAAGTCTTAAAAACAATTTAAGAAGCCTACATACTTTATATTATTGAGACTGTGTTTAAAAAATGAACTTACTTTGGTTTGGGTTCCTCTTATGTACTGTTCTTTTACTATAGCTTGCTGATCATGGCAACGTGATCGTCAAAGGTCATGATGCCCAAAAAAACAGTCTACAAATTATCACAAATTCTGAATTAGTGAAGGTTGGCTATATTTATATGAAAAAGGAACATAACTCTCACTCCGTTCAGTGCAATTTATATCCATCATTTTAAAGACAGCGGCGTGACATCCATATTTCCTCACTTTTGACATACTTTCAAACTGTTACTCATTACTGATAATTTAATGCAAGATGATGCATGTTCCTTCACTGAGCGAACACAATATGGCACCCAGTACACAAAGCCAGAAATAATTTTGAGACAAGATTAGAAAGAAATTAATATAATAAAGGACAATAAGATGCTGATGTCATTCAACAGCAGCAGCCAATTCCAGTCAGAACAGAAGGTATGGTGGCCAATGTTTAAATTCACCTGTGACACTTCTGTGATGTTCTGCATTACTCAAAGCATGATTCTGTTCTTCAAACTACAGTAGAACTTGGTTATAACGTCATCAAAGGGACCTAAAAATAGTGTCGTTATAAACGAATGTCGCTGTAACCGAAATGGGCAATTCCACAGTAGCCTTATGTTAGTCACGTAAAAATCTACCAAAAACCGAGTTAAAATGTTGCATTTTTTAGTGAAATACGTAGTTAAGTACAGACTAACGTAACATTAACGTGGAATTGCCCAAATGTGTAATATCAAAGACATATTACAGCGCTTTTCACTGACAATACACACAATATTTCACGAATCACTTTAACTTTCTCTTCAATGCTTAAAACTTTCCTTTTCATTGCCATGTTTTCACTACTGCACTTCTCTGGGTTTAGGCAGGAACACTATAGGGTAAGTAGACAATGTGAGGTCCTGTTAGACGAGATTCTAGGAAACGAATGCAGTTAACAACCTGCCGCATCCTCTTGCACTATTCATGCAGTCCCACCCCACACAATTGTTTTCGCATAAAACCCACGCTCCTCTTGCAGCCCGCGGTTGTATTCTTTCAGGACAGTCACGTCAGCAGGTACGAAAAGTGAGGGTGGGCAGACAAATCGAACTTTCCCATGATATCAGAGAAATTCAGGAATGAAAATGACGTTACATACGAGGTTGATGCCTTTGTGCATGTCGTACTAAGCAAGGTATAAAAACAGTTGCTTTATGAGGAATTAGTTCGTACCTTTGAATATTTGACACAATAGACAAGGTGTCGCAGAAACCAATGTTGCTATAACCAAGTTTTACTGTACTTATATTTGATCATATGTGTGTTGAACAAAATACAGCCTCTTCTGCATAGCTAAGCTATCTTAGAGGTTCTACAAAGAAAGTCACAAGTGAAGAACATAGTGTCACAATAACAAATACTGTTATGATCTTTGTCTCACGGGCATAATTAATCTGCTGCCAGTCAATTTTGTTTAGGGTCTAGAAAGGGTGACACAGATGGCAATATTGAGACACTCACACAGTGGAACATCTGGGCAGTAGCATTTTAGAAGTAATGTATGGCAATTCCTTTATCATTAGTGAAGGACTGTGGATTGACATAAAACCCCCATGAGCTACATAAGACCAAATTTATGCTCATACAAAAGTCACAGTTCCAGTTCTCAAAACAGCAGCCATAATTCAGCAAACCCATACAATGGCATCTACAGTATACAGAATAAAGTAAAGCCATCCCTGTAATGGCTGTAGAGGCCCATACGGTTGTGAGATGTTGAGGCTCTCACATTTTCTACACCATCAGGTCATATATGGCAGTGAGGTTGTCAGCCTTACAAATCAATCCACCCTTTACTCCCAGGAAGATTCCTGGTGCTTATTTCTGTTACAGGCTGAGTCGACCCCATGGACACACTTTGACTGGAAGAATTAAATTGATTGATAAATCCAATGACCTCATTGGGAATTGAACCCGCGGCCTTCAGGGTTGTAGCAGAGTGCCCCACAGTATACTGTATAGCAGAAAGAGTGTACAGATGCCAGACTCCAAATTCTTTAACAGTGTCTGCCTCTTCATCTCTTCTTCTTTCACTTTTATGCTATCAGTGCCAGTACTGTATATTGTTTCATAGGTAAGGAAGATGTACCCCCTTATGCCCTTTCATTTTCCTAGAAATTCATATAGTCTGCCCATCTGCACACAGCTAAACCTTTACAAATCACTTTGCTTCTGGAAAGAAATGGAATTAATGTAACTACCGGCACACACCTCAACCTCAAGGGTAAAAGTAAAGTTGTCCCTGTGCTCAATTAAGCACCACACCAAGATGATGTATTGGGTAAGAGAGGCATAGTTCCACGTATTCTTAACCTTGGTACTAGGGGGGCGGAGCTGATCGGCTTCACACCCCAGCCGATTTACTGCCAGCTGGGTTGACCCCAGAGCCAGTTTTGATAATGTAGAGAAGCAGAAAGTCTATAGTTGTTCAGTGTGTAGTCCTAGTCAAAATACTAACCAAACCATCCCAGTCCATCAAAACAGCGTGACTAATAATGGCTTAAAAACCTCCACCATCAATGTCTGTTTCTTGAGTGAATTTCCCATAAAATACTCACACCCCCAAAATCCTTCGGTCATGCATCTCATCTAGTAATCCCCCCCCCCAAAAAAAACTTCAAAGATCTCTTCAGTATTACAAAATGATAGTTTAAATACATATAATTATTTTAAAATAACTATAGTAGGATCATTATGGAAGTCCATCAAGTACTGTGCTGATTATAACAAGGTCCCAGTGCATCATTAACATTAATGTCATTATCACTGTTACCATTATTTTGTTATTGTTACTGTCATTATCATCATCATCATCATCATCATCATCATCATCATTACTGTTGCTGTTGTTTGTTGTTATTATTATAGTTGCCAATGTTACTGTTGTTATGACTCATCACCATCATCATTACTGAGCAGGGTGTACTAACTTGTCAGCCGCACAGACTCTGAAGCAGCCCATTAAGCATTCAGCGGCCTTTTCTAAAGTTTCTTTTGGTCGTCCTATTCCTTTAGCAGTTAACGAGCGGTCAGCCTTCAGAGCCATCAGCCTCAGATCAAGACATACTGTATACATAATTGGTAAAGACCAATTCTCGTCTCTCTGTGACTGAAGCAACTTCGTAAGCGACTGAACTACAAGAGTCTGGCAACGATACGCTTCAACAAAATCTTGATTATTCACTGCCCATACGCTCCTGCAACAGAAACCAAATAGTGACAAGATTATGAATACAAAATAATTCAGTCATGTCACAGAGCACAACAACATGTTAGTAATAATAACCTAGTCCTGAGTTATCATAAATTTAATTTCTAAATATCCACACATATGATGCAGTTAACATTTGTTAATCATATTGTAACGTGTTTCATTACTGAGTACGCCGTAGAGATCGTTAATTGGTTTATTTAACAATCTACAAATAACGGCTACAATTAATTATCACACAGTTGCGGGGTTTCACGATTTATAACCCTATGCGCAAATCAGTTCACTCTGTCTTCAGTGGTCTACACGTTTACAGTTGGGGAGCTATGTATCACTGTATCACACATTCCCAAATTCACAATCACATACACGTCCGGTTCTTCTTTCCGCGACGGCTGCTATACTCCAACTTGTAGTCGGCTGACTGGAGAACTGTTGATAACACACTCGCTCGTAGGCTGGCTCGGAACTATCTTCGGCGATGGCCACGTTATAACTCGACTCGGCGACTGTTACTTTACAACTCGGCGACTGCCCACATTACAACTGACTAGTAGCTGCTGTGCAGTTCCCTTATATAGCCGCAGTGGTGCCTGTTGCGTTCCACGTCACAGTAGGAAGCGGTTCCGCGTCACCGTGGGGAGAGTTGCGGGGTGATTACTCGCCTATTACGCGAGCGCTACGTTACCACTACGTGCAGCTGGGGAGGTAGGGGTCAACATGTCACACTATGGATATACACAATTACCATGCAGCAATAAACCAAATGGTAGAAATAAAATCAGAATGCATGCAGCATACTTTTTCAGTAATAACATTTTCTAACTTCAGCAGAAATCAATACTAATAATTATATAAAATTATCAGTGTAATCTCCCAAGACTGCTACAATATATTTTAAACAAGAACTACACAAATTCTCTATGTCTGAAGTATAAGAAATAATCTTTTCTATGATACAACACAGGGTGCTGTACATTTCCTTCCTAGTTACAGGGGGTATAGAATTTGCATGAAACTTTTGCAGCAAAGGAGAGAAAGGAGGGATGAAGCAAGGAATGACAACAGAACATAAAATGTGGGACAGAAAAGGAATACAGGAGAAAGGTCAGAATGAGATAGAAGGAAAGGTGTGAGGGATGAAGATATGACAGAAATTATTTTCCCAGGGACTCTGTATTTATAACAAAAAGTTTGCACTGAAAGTTCACCTGCACCACAACCCCCTAAAGCATGTACTTTTGCAGTCTCACCTTTGTACTGTCATTTAAAAATTAATGTTATAATTAAAATATATGCTGTAAATTTATTTTCAATGGGCAATGTATTAGTTATCAGTATAAAATACTGTGGTTAGGTATGCTGAAACTCTTGTGCAGGAAATAAAACGAAAAACTGCACAAATGCTCTCAGACCCATGCATTGTGAACCAGCACTTCTCTAACTGGATGAAAGTATAAAGATCTCCCCACTGTGATGCTTATAAAACTTACTAAATATCTTAACTCACCGTCATCATGCTGAAAACAGTACAAAACAATCTGGCTCAAAGTCTAATATGCTTATCATATTCAGTGCGAATTTCATCACAATCAAATAAACAGCCAAAATTTAAGCAGATGACAGAATATTAATATTTTTAAGAAGGCTATTTGGACAGTAAAGATACAAAGTCCAGAAAATATTTGTAAAGCATTTTTTTTTTTTGGATTCACTTGTAGCACTTTTACAACATAACTTTATTTACTTTTCAAGATAGTCACCATGAATTGCAAAGCAATCTGAGAGCCTGGGAACAAGTTTTTTTTATTCCAGCATCATAGATATCTCCTGCCTGCTCTCTTAGCCATGTCATCACTGCGTCTTGAACTTCATCAATGTCCAAAAAAGTCTTCCCAGCCAGACTTTCCTTCAATTTTGAAAACAGGTGAGAGTCGCTTGGTGCAAGGTCTGGGCTGTGTTGTGAATGGGCCAATACTTCTCACTTGAAGGGCTGCAACAACTCCTGCATGGTACAAGCAGTGTGCAGACGGGCGTTATCATGCAGTATGCAAACTTCTTGCATCAGCATTCCTCTCTGCTTGTTTTGAATAGCCTGATGCAGTTTCTTCAGCGTCTCACGGTAAGCAGCAACATTGAGGTTTCTCCTTGAGGCAAAAAATTGATGATCAGGTGTGTGATGAGATACCAAGTTTCATCTCCTGTCACAATATAGTCCACAAAGTCATCACCTTGATCCTCGTAACTCGCGAGGAATGCCTGCACTGCAGCCACTCGATTTTTCTTGTGACCATAAGTCAACATTTTCAGCGCCCAACGTGTGCACAGTTTCCAATAGCCTAATCCTTTTGTAATAATTTCATGGAGAACAGTTCTTGACATTTCTGGACATTGTTGATGAAGTTAATCAATGGTTAAATATCTGTCAGCACGAATGTCTTCATGAATTTTTTGGATGATTTCATCAGTGACAACAGATGGCCTTCCACTCCTAATTTCATCATGATCATCACAGCAGTTTCTCCTTTCACAGGAAGAAATTGAATTACTGCACAAACCTCACACTTGGCGGGATTTTGAACTGACACGGCCATATTAAACACATACTGCGACCATGTTACCGTGACTGTGGCTGGTGAAATCTGCCGTCATACGGTTCCTATCTCACACAGCAGCACTGCCATTTCTGGGGAGACTTGTATCTTTACTTTCCGAATCTCCCTTGTATAATGGCAATACTGACTGACTTCAACACCTTGATAAGTTTCATATAAGTTAACCATAAAGAACTTCATCAGAATCAGGAACAAAGCAAACCCTTGCTAATCTGGTTACAGTTAATTTGGATATCAGATAATCTGGATCAAAATATGAAAAATTCTGTTCACAGTTGAGTACACGCTACAAAAGACACATGGGTTGTAGGAAGGCAGATGAATCACTTGTGTGTTCAGACAAAACTTGACAGTTTCTTCAAACCTGCATTATTACATTGGAAAACTAGTACAACTTCTGAGTCATCTATTGATGAATAAATGTACTATTACAGTTTCTAAATATATTTTGTTATTTAATTTCATCAGCACTACTTATAATCATTAAATTTTCCATTTACCTTGTATACATACAATTTTCCGTCAATAATGCAACTAATACAACATGTTTCAGCCCCCAAAAGCCATCCTCAGGTGTCCCATTATGCCAAACTTGGCATATCGTCTGCACACGCGAAGACAACACCACGCGCGGCTTGTGGGGAAAACGGACAAACAAGGGGCAAAATTGCATACAAAACATAACAATAGGCTTGCATATGATAAGGGTGAGCCGCTGCAATGTATAATGCTTACACAAGTGGACAATATCCCTTATGAGGTGGAATTATGAGTTTCATATAAATAAAAGTTTTAACAATTTTGGATTAATTTTAAATGAAATGAACTGTAACATGTAAGATTTTAATGCACAACAGTTGAGTGAAAGTTTAACATTTTAACTATGAAATGTTCACTTACACGCATATGGAATGCATAATACTCAGTGCAGTGTAGCAGGTTGCATTATTGATGGAAAACTGTAGGTAAAAAATGCTGAATGTAGTAATGCAACATGATGCTTAAATACAAGATTTTCCATTTACTTATGTTCTAAGTTTTTTTTTAATCTTTTTGGGCTACCTTTTGCTTCATTAATCTGGATTATCACTTAACCACTAGTTCCTCTGGATTAGCAAGGGTATGCTGTATAGTGTACACATTGGTGATGAGAGCAGAGTTTCCATTACCATCTGTTGGCAGACATACAAAGCTGAAGAGACAAACAGATGATTTCCTGCACCCTAAAGTTAAAATGTCTGAGAGCGGAACTCTTGCTTCACACGGAAACACATATGAAACTTAAAAACAACTCTCACAAACTGGTTCATAACATGAACACAGATTTCATTCAGATCAACTCACATACATCACTACCGATGACATGAATGCCTTTCCTGGTGTCATACCTTTCAGGGTTTGGCTACATCATCTGTCACAGTCATTCAAACACTATGGTGTATATTACTTCTTCAGGAGGAATGTTGTCCAGTGGCAAGGGGCCAAGGCATTGGATAGTATACAGCCACCCTTATCCACAGTGTGAGGCTCATATATCGGGCCAAAACCTCCTCCCATTACCTGGTACCACACTGCAGACACTCACCCCTACACATAGGACCACAACCCTTTCCCACTGGACAACAGCACAACCCCATCAGTACTTCCACTGGAACCTCTATGACAGGACATGTCCTCCTTCCTCTTCACTCCACTCTTCCCCCAACATGGCGTCAGCAGCAGAATAACTCAACACACTGTGCAGCTATGCCCCTAGATCTAGGTCACAACACTTACATGTGACAACTGAATTTCAGGGGTTGTTGTTGAATGGACAGCCAGAAACTTCAAATTGGTCAAGACCACTTCCTCACTTGCTTTTCTTTCAAGTCTATGCTATAATTCTAGCATCAGCAGTATTAGAGCATTCAAGAAACACTGGAATATCAAATTAATTCAATACAAACCTCAAATGGGCAGCTACTATTTCATCAAGTGGAGGTTCCAGTACTCTTTCTACAGCAGATTCTGGGTTTTCAAGTTTCAATTTGCTGCTAGCAACATGGCCATGTCGGAAAGAAAGATAATCCTAAAACAGAAAGAAAAGATATCATTAAACTATGCAAGTATCCCAGAATCAAGTTCTGACAGTGGCACAGTTATCCTACACCCAGCTTTACAACTCTGAAAAGGGAGGGGGCAGTTATGTTATGTGTCTGACAGCAATTATGCAGGCATGGGGTTATTCTACTGTTCATTCTGAAAACATTTTGCTGCATGGTGCATGAGATAATGAATCAACTTATCTACACCGTCCTATAGTTATGACAGTGACCAATCATATTCTGATGTAAACACTGAATCAGAAACACACATGGCACTGCCAATTCAGGAATGGAAATTCCCAGAGGTAATTTCTAATTCTAGGATTGCTAAGATGAATAGTCAGTAAACAGGTCACAAATCAAAGTAAAACAGCTGTAATGGACATAATAGGTTTTCTGTGTGCATCACCAGGTAGAGGGGGCACGCGGTAGCATAGTTGGTTGAAGCACTATGCTACAAGCCAGAAGGTTGCGGGTTCAAACCACAATGATGTTATAGATTTTTCAATTTACCTAATCTTTCCAGCTGCACTATGGCCCTGGGGTCGACTCAGCCTCTAAGAGAAATGAGTGCCAGGAATCTTCCTGGGAGTAAAGGGCGGCTGACATGTAAGACTGACAATCTCACCACCATCTGTGAGCCGACTGTCTATAAAATTTGGGAGCCTCAACATCTCACAACCCTATGAGCCTCCATGGCCTGTTACAGGGACACCTTTACCCTTTTTTATCATTAGGCAGCAGGACAGTCCAGCTTCATGAAAGTCTAGGTAGCAGATGAGCATGTGCATCTTCAGAGGCTGGGTTCAGTAGTCAGAATGGCGACTGTGCTTGAGGAGTGTACTACCAAAGAGCAGAATTCTGTTGTGCGTTGGGGGGGGGGGAGCTAACAGATTCAATGCAAAGAACACTCATAAAGAAATGTTTCCTGCTTATGGTGGAAAGTGTTTGTGGCATGAAGTGGTTCACACTTGGGTGGCAAACGTTTCACTGAAGATGAAAAGGTTGAAATAGAGATGTAGAAGTAGCTGAGACAGCAGTCAAAAGACTTCTATGCTGCAGGTTTTGGTGCTCTCGTAAAGCAATGGGACAAGGGTTGATGGAGAATATGTCAAGAAATAAATGTGTTTTCTAGGTTCAAATATCACAAGTTTTACGTTTTATATCCATTTCTGAAATGGCTCTCCCTCACATAAACTGCAGTCTAACTACCCACAGAAGGAAAAATTGGGGGCTGGTACTTGGTCATGGCAATAAGGACAGTGAGTCGAGAATCTTACAAAACAGCCCTTTCCACAGCCACCAAATGCACCAATAAAAACCAAACCAGCACCTGATACCCCCAAACGATTGTCCATCCCAGTGCTCGCCAAACATGACATTGCTTAACCACTTCTACTGTCAGTTGATCAGCCAAAAATGTGGTGAAAAGGATCCGCATGGGTTGAGGATAGGCTGCTAGGGGAATGGGAAGGAAAATGAGTAATGAAGAAAGCAGTCTTCTGGGTTGTGGCACCGTGTAGATATTGTGTTAACCAACGTTTCAGAGGAACGTATCCTTCATATTCAGGGTAGAAGACAAGAAGAAATCTGCGAGCGAACCAGCATGAGCAGGTGCAACAGACTGTTCCTCCAAAACGTTGGTTAACACAATATCTACATGGTGCCACATCCCAGAAGACTGAACAGAACTGGGTTTGAGGGGGTCCTTTGGAGGTAAATCCCCTTATGGAGTTGCCACAGCTCTCCCTCACTCTAGCACTGGTTTTGTGAGACAAATATGATTGTGACATTCTCTCTGCTCAGAAGCATATAGATGAACTTTCAGGCAAGGCTTAACTAGTTCAAAACAAAGAGTTACCTTCTATGGCTTGCAAGGTAATCTTGGATTCGAACCAAGGAGCTCCTGAAGACGAACCAGGAGCACCACCTACTGAACTGCAATACTATGTGTTTACCCCTCATGAAACTCTGCCCTTTTATATTTGAATTTCTGATACGAAACATTCCTCCTCTGACACTTCCCTCCAGTTACCTCATATACCATACTTTATCTTTTATGGGTCATTTTGGTCAGATGGGCACATGAAATATCCAACAACCATATGATAGGCACTTGGTGACATACTGCTAGATCAGAAAAACGAAGATAAGTCTAGTTCCTGCTTACAGTAAATATTTTGTGATTGCGCTAAATTGGAGAGCTGGGAGAAGGAATCCTGCAAGCTCATAGGGACCCTATCCTAAACAAATAAACAGTCAAAACACAGCTATCAGTTCTTACCGACAGGGTAGTTCCATCCTTGTTTCGCCAAGCACTCTCGATCTGAAATTAAAGATGCGCTTGAATTACAAAAGACCAGGTGAAAGAACAAACTGTTAGTATTCCTGGCTCCGAGATCTCTTCCACAGGCGACATAAAGTTAGGTTAACAAAAGTAACCGCACAAAAACAGTAACAGTTTTTACTGCTTCTACAAAGTTCCTATGTATGTTAATTAAACCACATTTAATTCCAGATTAGCAATTACCTGTAGCAAATAATGGTTCAGACTCAAATGAGCCATGCTCTACACTACATACAACAAACTTTGAAGCGTTCAGTCGCGTTCAGTCGTGCACGATCTCTTACTCACTTAGGCCTCTTAGGCCTCTTAGAAGTCTTTGAATGCTTAGAATCTTAGGATCTCCTCCCATCGTTTACATCGTTTAGCTCTCACACGCGCTCTGCCGGAATTTCGACGACACATCGGTGAACGGGTTGCTAGTTACTCGCAATCTAGCGGCAGAGTTTTGTATTATGTTAACCAGATTCGGTTGCTGAGTGGAATTTTTCGCTGTTACTTCACAGCAGCTGCGTCAATTGGACGTTGAACGGAAAACTGCGTGTATTCTATCAGAACACAAACAACAAAACAAACAAACTCCGTGATTTTAGTCCGCAAGCGAACTATACCGACCGAGCGACCGCCGCTAGTCGGCGAAGTTTAGTGCCAACTTTTGCGGATAGAGGGTGTCGCGTGGTCAGCGCAACGAATCCCCAAGGCCGTTAATTTCGGTTTTCTAGACAGGAGCCGCTATTTCTTTGAAATAGCTCCTCAGTTATAATCACGAGGCTGAGGGCACCCCGTTTCAGACACACTACTTCTCAGAAATAATCTGGTAGCTCCGGGAATCGAATCTGATCTGTAGCCAGGAACGCTGACCACTAGACCACAGAGGAGGTCTCTATCAGAACTCACAAAGCACAATTTAATTATGGGATTGAGGGGGGTAAACTGTGGAATTAAATATTTTTACGTCCTTGTGATAAACGTGGAATTGAACTGAGGTGATTTTCGAGCTTTTGGGAAGAATTTATTGAACCTTTGGGTCCCATACAACGCGGAGAAGTTACTGACGACTATCAGCTTCGCAACAAATTAGTAACGGTTTGTGTTACGTTAATTCAACGACAGTGAATAAACGTTACTGTAACGATTTCGTAAAAATCACAGCCATACAGCTCTGGAACCAACTACCTGCAGATGCTTTAGGTACTCTGTCCTGTAAACCAAGCAATTTTAGGCAAAGGGTTAGGAAAGTGATAAATGAGGCGAAGTGAAGTTGGGGTGGAAATTATTAAAAAGAAAAAAAAATTGCAGTGAAGGGAAGTGAAGTGAAGTGAAGTAAATGACATTACGCATCCATGACTGTTGGTTTCCTTTTGTTTGTGTTTTGGGTGTTGTATTTTCTTCTTCTCTCTCTCTCTCTGTAATTATTGTTGTATTTGTTGCAGTTGTTCGTATTTCTCTGTAATTGTTGTAGTTGTTAATCGTATTTGGTTTGTATTCATTGTGGTAGGATGTCCTTATTGTTGTGTTTTGTGTNNNNAAAAAGGGATGCTGCAAATACGGGTCGGGGAGGGGGGCCCTGGAAATATCTTGCTGAAAATGAAGCGCCCTGAAAGGAACCAGACGGTGTCGACCCTCATCTACCTTCATTTCCAGCCCTGATTACCGTATGTGTTGGGTATTCCCCGGGCTGTTCTGCTAAACCACTTCTAAAAAAGCCATTTCTGCTCGAGGTTGAAGCAGTCTGACAGGCTGGAGAACTTTACAGGTAACCGACATGGAATCCCACCGTTCATTACCTGGTCTTAACAGCCCGCCTTAATTACTCATACTTCCAAATAGCAGAATCCTTCTCAAGAAGTTTGTAGTTGCTCAGCTAGTCAACAAATTCCATGTACTCTATGGGACAAGATGGTTCATAAGCGTGTTCACAAGAGCCTGCCACTTGTCTCTATGATGAGTCAAATTAATATAATCCACACACTCGCTCCCTAATTTCAGACTCATTTTAATATCACCCACCCATCTACAATTAGGTCTTTCAAGTAATTTCTTTCCTTAACCATTCACAACCATCATTTTCTATGCAATTATCTTCTTCCCATGCGTGCTACACGCCCCTCCCATTCCATCTTTCGTGATTTGACGAGCTTAATAATATTTGGCAAAGAAAACAAATCACGAAGGCGCTCTTTATGGTGAGTAACTCAGCGCTATAATTCAGATGGCCACAGGCATGAGGCTGTCTGAAGCAACGAGTATACTCGGTAGTGTCCATGAAGCGGTTACGCACCGTTCTATAATTCATCACAACACATGAATATCACTCGCCGGTGTTCTCTTCTGGTACATGTTTACAGCTGATTCGGAAGAATGTGTCGCCACCATCTTCAGGGTATAATTCTGGCTATTGTAACTGAATCATCTGTGGTTATTTATCGAGCCATCGAGGTATGCGGTGTTCTGGTACCCTAAAACAGATGACAACACTTACTTCGAAACCATTTTCCAGTTAATGATAATTCAGAGATCACCACGTAACATTAGATAAGCCAAGAATAACCAAACTTGAAATTTCACACGGCTTCGGTGACGATGCAACTTCAAGCTGTGTCCAGTTCACACTTTTCACCGCTGCTGGTGATCCGTCTAGAACTGCCGTGTAAAACATGCGGCCCGCGGGCCCCATGCGGCTCCCATAGCCACAAAGAACGGTCCCTCAACTTTTAGAGCTAATTGATATTAAAATCAATATTAAAATTTTAGTAGAAATATTTTTTGTAAAGACAATTTTCCAACAGACCAGAAGACAAGAAGTCTCACGCAGACATAAATTAGCAGGCTGCAGGAAAAGTGATTCTGAGAATTGCAGAAAGGTTTGTCCAACTATCGGTTTGTAAAGTGCGTGAAGGACAAACTATTGTATTTCAGAAGGTTAATGAACTAAAATCCGCACAGCCTCACCACCCCAAGTATTTCCAAGAATCCCTTTTGGAGGCGTAGTAAGAATGCAAAGAGGGTGGCAACTGACAGACAAGTGAAAGGGATTTCTACCTTCAAAACTAGCTTGCAACCCCCAGTCGCTGTCTAATGGGCTGCTAGCAAACTTTCACTTTTATGACCATTGAGACAAGATACACCTTCCTACTAGTCCGGTAGTCTCTTGTACATTGTCATTCAGTTCACTTTCACACAGTGACAGGTGCTTATGTTACATTGTGATGAACGTATAAAGGTTATAATTAAACATTAAATTATCAACTACGAGTTTTCTTATATATGTACAGTAACTTTTAAAGGGCAATGTTGTAACCGTTCATTCTAATTGGTGGACTATTGTGCATTAATTAAACCTGTATTAAGTAAAGATTACAAAATTACACACAAAGAAATCCGGCAGATAGCCACCTCTTACACGCGGAATGATCATAGTTCAAGTTTTGCTATGTGGACAGGTACACATCTGGACATCTGGTACTTTCCTGGAATTCTGGCAGTTTCAGCAAAGTCGGAAAGTCTTTGAGAATTTGAGAGCTGACAGCTTGGGACAGCTATTACTTAAAAGTGGGACGGCCGGAGCCTCATACCCTGATCGTAATGCATCAAGGGGCTGTCAACCTTAGCGTCAGGTCAGCATCTGCCAGAATCACATAGCAAAGCAACATGATTGGAAATTCAAAATTTAGGGAAACTCCTAGTTTGAAAACTTAACCAATGGCAGAAGTGGAGGGGTGGATTTCTCTTGGAGTCTGGAGTTCGTGGACCTCAGGATTCAGAGAGAGTGCCTTGCGCCTCGAGGAGTCTTCATACAACTTTCGGCAAAGTCGGACACAAAATTTACAACTACGACCCTTCCGTAAAAGTATTACAAGTAAAGTTCTAAATAAGTGTTACTAATAGATTCATTTGTATTCAGTGAGCTGGAGGGAATTAAATGATTACTAAGTGCGACGGTCTAAAGAGGTGTGTGTGATTGTAGTGAAAGATTCTTCCTGCCCTGCCCGAGCCAGACCCGTATAAGACCCGGGATATGAACTCAGCTCTACAAATTACCGAACACAACCCAGATACTCCCGTCTTTACCTGCTCTCGCGTACCTGCTCCAACATCCCCAATTCTCCTCCCTTCCCACCTAACTTCTCGACATCCACGAGAAGAGGGAGGACGGTGATAAGTGGAGCACAAACGTAGGATAAAGGGAGGACGGTAACAGCGTGGCGTTCAATGTAAAGGGCCCAAAGAAGTGAGCGGTTACAATCTCTACTCTTCAAATGGACGAAGTGACACTATACAGACTTNAGAATTTTAGGTTTCCATGGCGGTAGTAATGATGAATGCGGTCTTCTGCGTTGTAACACGGTGTAGTTCGGAGAGAGGTCAACGCTTCGAAGGAACTTATCGCCTCCATCTTCAAGGTAAAAGTTAAGCCAAGCAAGAAACCAGCAGAATCAATCGGTAAGCTTCTTTCTCGCGTAGGTTACTCTTTGACCCTGAAAATGGAGGTGATATGTTCTTTCGAACGTTCGTCTCTCAACTACACGGTGTTACAACCCAGAAAATCTTACTCTTCGTGTGGTAATTTGTAAAAACTTCTTCAAGGGTACATCACCCTTCGAGTAGGAACCCTTACGAAAGAAACGCCCTTGTGTTCAGTGAGAGCTTGGTATGGAATTCTGGAGATCCCATCTCATGTTAAGAACAAGATCTAGTAACTTTGTAACAATGACGTAACGATCTCCAGATTACTGGGCGCTACATTCACTATGAGGTTACAGCTCATTTGTCTGGAAAATTTGAATAAACCCACGAAAATCAGTATACGAGATATCTCGGCTGAGATTCGAACCGAGAGCCTTCCGAATGCGGGTCTAAGGGCGGCCGCACACCAACTGCGTCAAGACAAACATCAGGCATGAGGACAAAAGACGCAGTGTTGCTTCATTCGTGATTTGTCAGCATCATGACTCAGACCGATGTGCGGCGGTTTCCATACTCTCATTCGTTTCAACTGTGCTTCTTTCTTTGCGTCATGTCGCAGACATCGTGTCTTGACTGTTACATGTCTTGACGCATGCCGGTGTGCGGCCTACCGAAAGCATTACCGCTATGCCAATCCGCTCGGTACCTTTCTGCTGTTAATTTAGGTATAACACAGTAAATTATTTTCAATTTCAATTTTCCGCCTTCTTATTTCAGAGGTTGCCGAAGTCCTATGGATTATGCAGGGCACAATGTTGCATTCGTGGCTCCTGTTTAAGGCCAAGAGGATTTCAGAGACGATTACGTTGTCAAAACACGGCTCCAGATGACATTATAGGGTTACAATGTGCAAATGGACCCTAATTCTGTGTTTCCTAAGCGAAATTGGTTTC